TCTTAGGTTCGTAGGATAGTTTGGCTTGGAAGGGACCTTCAGGGATCATCTAGTCCAAACCCCCGCCAGTGAGCAAGGACATTCTTCACACCTTTCTTCTTGTGCCAGAGGCTTCCCTCCCTTTTGACTGTTGAAGCCTCCGGTGCCCTCAAGCTGTTACTGCAGTGTTCATTGTGCCAAGTTAATCCTGTTTCTTTTGACCAAATAGCTGCTTCCTCTCATCATTTATTCATATTTGCTCTTGTTCCATTTCCTTTTGTTTTTCAAGATTTTTCTGCCATTAGGTGCACTCGGATTTGAGTGTTTTGGTTAAATAGGTGCCTTTCAATGGCAGAAGAAATGATAGCATCTAGAGTGCATAGGAATATCAGGGCTTGCTTCGTTATTCACCCAGATTTCTGTGACAGGCACCCAGTGGATGTTTTGAAAGGCTGTCCTTGGTGTTGTTTTAATACTAATGCCAAGTATACTTTGGGTTATCTGAATCAATAAATAATTTGAGTTTACCTTAAACAAACAGGTAGAATAATGGAGTTTCTGTTCACCTTTTTGAAACGTATTCATTCAGAACTTGCTACTGGTCTTTGAAAGGTGCATTGTGAGTTCGAACTGTTGAGGTGCTTGGACAAGCGAGCAGATAAAACAGAGGCTCCCAAAGCTCTGACATGCTTCACTGTGAAGGAAGGTAAAAACCCATCATTGGAAAGGATAAAACTTACTTGATGTATCTCTGGGCTTCTCCTCATTTGTGGTGTTGAGCAGGGTCTTCCCTGTCCAGCATCACACTTACGTGCATGAGAGTTGTGCCACTTACACTGTAGGAATAACATGCCCAGCCCTGCCTGAGCAGTGGGTTGTTCAAGGACAATGTGGGGCTTGTTTTCACACACACACGTATAGGAGACCTGGAGCTTTCCTTAGGCTAGGCTGGGATATCTAACAGTGGGATTAAATACTCTGTCGGAGTTTATGTAATGCCACACCAATAAGGAGGCTGAGAGGAGACCATGTGCATTTACAGTCCCAGAGAAGAGCGTTTACTCTGGTGTATAATAGCCTTCTGTTGGGTTTTAGTAGTGTATAGTTTAGTAAATTAGGAGTCTTCAGGTACTTAGCACTTTAATGGTTCTCACTAAGAACATAATTAAACCATAGACCCCTTAGGGAGAAAACCTCAGTTTATTGTGCATATTTTTAGACTCTGTTCCCAGCCCTCATAAAACCTGGTCGATACAAGCCAGAGAACATGCCTTAGCTGGTGACCCCCAATTCATGCAGCCCCCCCGAGTGTCTCCCCGCAGTCACACATTGCAAATCTGCCCTGTGAATTATGGAATTAATTTTCCCCCATCTGAGTTCCAACCCCATTTGCAGCTCGGTGTTTCTCCGGCTGCGGGAGGTGTGAGGGAGGCAGAAGGTTTATGATGTTGCACCTTGTGCTGACACATAAAGCTGGGCTTTGCTAATCGCTTTTTGATTTAAAAACATTTTATGTTTCACAGAGGCAGCCAGAAACGGGGCTTGTTGGAGGCAAGGGCTCTGCTCTGTTCTTCTCTGCCTGGGGCTTGCTTATTTACCTGCATCTCACTTGGAGCCGTGTGATTCTGTGTCTGTGTGTCAGGAATTCACAGTTCTCAATGCAGGGAAACTCCTGGCTGCTTCCTTGAATGCTTCTCCTTGCAAAGCAGCCACAAAGCAAAGTGCAAAGCTCAAAATCCCCAGTGAAACCAGTAGGTGAAGTGATCCTGGAATGCTTTTCCCTCCTTCCAGCCTTTGACACATCACCTCTGACACTGCTGTGATGTTTCCATAGGACAAGAAACCTGGATAGGGTTTCTGACAAAGGCCTGTAGGGACAGGCCAAGGGGAATGGCTTTAACCTGCCAGAGGGGAGACTGAGATGAGCTCTTAGGCAGAAGCTCTTCCCTGTGAGGGTGCTGAGGCGCTGGCACAGGGTGTCCAGAGAAGTTGTGGCTGCCCCATCCCTGGCAGTGTTCAAGGCCAGGTTGGACACAGGGGCTTGGAGCAAGCTACTCTAGTGGAAGGGGTCCCTGCCCATGGCAGGGCTTGGAGCTGGATGAGCTTTAAGATCCCTTCCAACCCAAACCAGGCTGGGGTTCTATGATACGAGTACACAGCATGCCTGTGTTGGGCACGTTTCCTCTCTAACCTCAGCATTGTGCTTCACGTGCTCTCCCCAGCCCCATCTGGGTGCAGTGGGACCCACTGGACAGGATGTTGAGTGCCCCAGCACCCCTGGGCAGTGGTCAGCTTGCACGCAAAAAGATCCCATAAAGCTTTCCCGCATCACAGGTGTCTGTGTGCAGCAGGGTGGTGATTCACACATCGCTGTGGCTCTTTGCTCTTGTCTCAGCTCCCCTTCCCAAGTAAACACAGCTTTCTTCCCGGGAAACGGGTGCTGTGCTGCACCCGTGGCTCACAGCATCTGGAAGGCATTGGGAGGAACACACACACACACGGAGTGCTCTCCTCTCCCAGCAGCCTTCTAATGAATTTCTGATACATGTGAATCCCTTCTCTATCACTGTGTCTTGTTTTACACAGTCAAAGTTTGCACGCAGAGCAGTGGTGTGGAGGAAGGGTCCCAACACCGCTCTTATCAAAGTGTTTCACTCCCTCTGTTGAGACAAATGCTGAGGACCTGTGTGTTATTTATGGTGTATCTGCTGCTGGTTTAGACTTCAGTCTTGCTTGTCATTTGGGTTATCTTGCCTGTCACACAGCATTGCCCCCTGACACTGTGATTGTGTTGGTGCTGATAGGGTGAAGGATGGAGATGCTATAGCACCTGGGAGTGAATTATTAACCCACACCAGGTTTCTGTGCTTTGCTTCTCCCTTTTCCCCATTTCTACTTCAGGTTAAGAATTAGGCTGCTGCTAAAAGCATGTTCCCACGCTGGCCCAAACGTGGCTGCTGTGTGAGCCCAGTCCAAGAACTTCCTTCCAAGAACCCAGAGAAGCTGTGGCTGCCCCATCCCTGGCAGTGTTCAAGGCCAGGTTGGACACGGGTTTGGAGCAAGCTGCTCTAGTGGAAGGTGTCCCTGCCCGTGGCAGAGGACTGGAACTGGATGAGCTTTAGGGTCTTTTCCAACCCAAACCGTTTTAGGACCAAAGGCAAAAATTTTCTTTCTGCCCTTAAGCACAGCAGACTTGGGGGTGATGCCTTGAGTCCCAGCCCAAATCAACAAGCAGTGTTTGATGGTTGCAATTGGCTTTGATAGACGAGGGCATCAGCGTGATCACGTGATGGAGAGGAAGGGGGTTTGGGAGCCAGATGGCACGTTCAATAGCTAAGGATGGTCTTTGCTTGAACATTAAACAGTGTCAGCCCAGCCCTGCAAAGCCAAAATCAAATGAATAACTGCTCAGTGCCATCACAGTATGAGATTTAATGACATGTATAGGTATGTGATTAAATGTGCAGCGCTGCCTGTTCTTCATGGTCCCCAGGTGTCAGTGGGGAAACTAACAGGAGGAGAAGCAGGAATGCCACCTTCCTGCAGCTCCAGTGCGTCGGGATCAGGCAGTTACACGCTGGAAACCAGCTCATCTCAGGCTAAATGTTACAACCTGTAGGCCTGATGCCTCATCTAGGTCAGTTTTCCTTAAAAATCAGAGCAGCAGAAGCCAAGGGAGCAACCTGCCTTTTTGGAAGGATAAAAGCATTTCTCAGCAATTTGGGATCAAGGTAAAAAAATCTCTTTGTGAGCCTCCCTGATGTTCTGGGAATGCTCAGGGCAGTCCAACAAGCACATTAACTCAAAACAGGTCCCATGTGGAGGGGAAGGACCCTCAGTGGCACCCGGGGGTCTGCCCTGACCTCCCACCCCCTTGCTGGAGTGGACTTGGCAGAGCTCCATGACCCCGACACCGCTCCATCCGGCGCCGCTGTCCGAGGAAGGAAGGATGCGGTCTCCTGTCCTAAGGGGTTACAGCAGCCTCAAACCCATATACAGCAACAACTTTATTAATCCCAGCTTTGCTAATAAGGAATTACAATAGTTGTGGGATTTGGCAGTGGAAGCACGCTTGGTTGCCATGCATAGTACAGTATTTCCCCTGTTTTGTTTGTATTTTTGATTTAACTACAAATAATTTAAAGATGTGTTGTGTCTCCTTCAATTAAAATTTGTGTCTCCATCCTCTTATTTTTTTCTTATCACAGCTTTAAAACAATTCCAATGGATTTGAGCTTCTCAGATATGCAAAGATAAATTGAAATTACCTTCATTCTTTATGCTGAAGTGGCAGAATTTCCTTGGTGAGGGACAGTTATTGACATATCAGGGTTTGGGTTTATTTCCTTTGTGAAGTTTGCAGCTTTATTATCCTGGAGGGAAGATCTCCCAGTGTCAAAAAATGTCAGGCTCATAGAAGAATAATATTGTCACAAGGCCAGTATGTAAATACCTTAACCAGGATAGCATGTTTAGAGGAATTACGCTTCCCTCTCCCCAATTACAAGTTTGGAAAGCAACTCCACCACTACATTTATTTCAAATTCAAACATTTTGAAAGGATATCTCCTAGGTTTGGAAATCTGGTTTCCATTCCTGCCTCCCTCTGACCTACTGTGTGACCCTGAGAAAATCTTTCCCTCAGTTTCTGTATCTGCTTAACTGCTCTGATGCTCTGCAGCACTCATGCCGAGCAACTGAACATCCGTCGGGGTCGAGCTATGTGTAACGTTTCAGTATTAAATAGTGCTTTAATTTAATATAACTGGGGTTCAGTTGTGAAAAAAAGAGAAATGGAGCTCTTGCTTTTTAAAAGATCTTTTGGCTTAAAGATTCCTTGGTTGCATGAAAAAAAATGAATTAAGTAATTCTGTGTAAAGAGAAATGAGTGCCCAGAGGCAAAGGATGATTCTCCTGGGGGTAAACGTGGGGAAAGAAATAAGGGAAAAGGCCAAGAGCTCTGTAGCTCCCTCAATAATGAGCGTGGAGGGGGATTGATGCTCTTCCTCTCCATCTTTCAGACGCAGCCAGTGCCCAACCCTATTGCCTACTTCATGCATCGCTCACCATGGTGGTTTCATCGCTTCGAGACCTTGGTCAATCACTTCATTGAGCTGGTGGTGCCATTCTTCCTGTTCCTGGGGCGGCGGATGTGCATCGTGCATGGCCTCCTGCAGATCCTTTTCCAGGTGAGATGCTTGTGGGTTGGATTCCAAAGGATCACGTCTTCACCCAGGATGGAGCGGAGAGAGTTGGAAGCCTGTAACATCTCTCCTGCTTCCTGTGCTTCCTGCCTGGCTGGGGGGCGGGCTGGGACTTTGGTGACTGAGGTGTACACACTGTCCTCACATGAGAATGTGGGCACATGTGGGGCTCCTGGAACAGCATCCAAAGGAACTGACTCAATTGGCAGGTCAAGGGTTCAGGCTCAAGTGAATCAGGATGATTCACAGCTCTGAGCTGTTGGCTCTCAGGTGGTTTGCATTGGTGTGGCTGCTCATAGTGTGTTGCTGGAGGTTCAGCTGCTGGTTTGGTTTCTGCTCATATGGATGGCAGAGAAATGTCAGCCCAGGACGGCTGGGATGAATACTTGCAATCTCTCCAAAAGCTAATTTTTATAGACATCATTCACCCTTTGAAGGGATTTATATATATATATATATATATATACACACACATTTAACATTCCAGGGCTGTTCTTTATCTCTGAAGATGTTTGAACTGTTTTTTTACAACCACCAGATTTACTGAGGCAGGGTTCGTAGTGAAAATAATGGCATTTATATTCCAGTTGCTTTTGGGGTGTTGGGTGGTTTTCACACATGAAATAAATAAATCTATGTTGAAGTCGGAGGACAGAAGCTCCTGCATGTGTACCTCGCAGAGATGCTCACTCCTTCTTCCAAAACATGTCTCATGTGCAGGTACCCCTGAACATACAGCTTGTGCCTCTGCACCCTCAGCACACCTTTTGGCATTGGGTTTGGTTTGTTGGGATGGATCTTCTCAGGCAGCTGGAGGTCCTGGCAGTGGGGCAGAAGAGGTCAGACTCAAGGAGGTCTCTGGGCATTGCACCGTGTGGTCCCAGTTGTGTTTGTAACAGGCATCGCTGAGGTTTTGAGTGTCACTGGAGGGATATCTTCACCCCAACCATAAAAACACTGCTCTTTTGTCTCATGGACAAAACAAAACATCCAGTCTCTTGTCATCTGCTTGTTGCAGAAGCAGGCAGATGTTGAGACTGGTGGGGATCAGATTAGCAAGCAGGAATTGTGAGTAGAAATACTTTTGTGTGTAAGGAGGTGTAGGGAGGGTGGCAAAGGCTCTTTCTAGGGTGGGTGGACCCAGAAAGGAGCAGAACACAGCGAGTGGCCTATCAGAAAACAAAGCCACATTACCAAATTCCAGGCTTTGGCGCAGCTTCTGTGTCTTGGGGCAGGGCAGAATGTCATAGAATCCCAGGCTGGTTTGGGCTGGGAGGGACCTTAAAGCTCCTCCAGCTCCAACTCCTGCCACGGGCAGGGACACCTTCCACTGGAGCAGCTTGCTCCAAGCCCCTGTGTCCAACCTGGCCTTGAGCACTGCCAGGGATGGGGCAGCCACAGCTTCTCTGGGCACCCTGTGCCAGTGCCTCAGCACCCCCATAGTGAAGACATCCTCACCTCTAGCACCCACATGGCTCCTCTGAGGGTCCCTAATGAGCAGCAGGAGTGTTTGTGTGCCGGGGGACTTCAGACAGAGCCAGTGGGATCTGAGAAAACCCAACTACATCCAGTAAAGGCTCATAATGACATATTGTAAATGCATGCATCTAACCACCCTTTAACTGGTGCTTTATTGATAGTTTGCAATTACTGACTTATTTCTATCATGAGGGGAGTCTGCAAGGGAGAAAAAGGTCCCAGTGTAAAATGCAGCTCTGGTGCATTTATAGCATTTCAACAAAAACCTGTTTATTTAATATTTACTGCCCTTTTCTTCATTCAGAATGACTTTTATTGACAATACTCCTGCTCTGCAAAGGAAGCAATAAAGTTTAATGTTGATATACCACTTAATTCTGCTTTTCAAGATTTGAATTGACATTACATGCAAGTTTTATTGGACATTTTATAATTGTTATTGGAGTCATGGTGGCTAGGTTGAGTAAGTGTGTTTTTCCAGATTCCAACTGGCATGGAGAATATTGCTTTGTCAGGAACCCAAAAAAGTGGTGCTTTAAAGGAAAAAGTCTCTTTTTTTTTTTTGAAGTGTGAACTTATTCTTCTTGCCTAGTTCATGGTTGTAAGGAAAAAGGCTTAGTGAGCTTGGAAACGTCAGAGAGGAGGGGCTTGGCAGCCTGCTAGAGCAGGAGGATGGATGGCTGTTCCCCACTGGATTCCATTGGGGTTGTGCTGGTTGTGCTGCAGGGAGAATGTGCTGGTCCCAGTGTGCCAGATCATCCTGGGCCTCCTCCTGTGCAGGAGATTTGGGGTATGATGACTGAAACATGCACTGTGTAGGTGCATCCCTTCACCATCCCCATCCTGTGCTCACCCACCCATGTCCTCACCAGACCCAAACCAGGGAGCCTGAGGAGCTGGGACACCATGGGTTTGGAGTTTCATGTGCATTGGTGCTGCTGTGATCTGTTTTGGGTCTGCCTGCTCTGATGCCCTGGAGCTTCCAGAAATCTCCCCCTTCGGCTGCTTTTCATTATAGAGTGGTTTGGGTTGGAAAGGACCCTATGATCATCCAGCTCCAACCCCTGCCACAGGCAGGGACACCTTCCACTAGAACAGGCTGCTCCAAGCCCAGTCCAACCTGGCCTTGAACACTGCCAGGGATGGGGCAGCCACAGCTTCTCTGGGCACCCTGTGCCAGCGCCTCAGCACCCTCACAGGGAAGAGCTTGTTCCTTATACCTAACTAAATGTCCCCTGTTTCAGTTTGAATCCATCACCTCTTGTCCTATCACTACAGTCCCTGATGAAGAGCCCCTCTCCAGCATCCTTGTAGGCCCTGTTTAGATACTAGAAGGCTGCTCTGAGGTCTCCACACAGTTCTCTCTTTTCCAGACTGAACAGCCCCAATTTTGATCTTGAATAAATCAGAGTTTTACTTATTGCAAGTCTCTCAATATAAATAGTCTTTGCTTATAAAAAAAGCAACACACATAATCAAGGAGTGGGTTGAACACTGGCCAGTTCCCATTAGCAAAATCATTATTTATTGTCACTAACCAGCAGACTTGAGGAGGGCTTTGTGATTTACAGCTGTGGGTGTAGTTTTTGCAGGACATCTGCACGCAGATTCTCAATCACATTGCAGGGCCCAGAAACATGTTTACCAGGATCAAAGGTGAGTGGAGAGAAAATGTCATCCAAGATTTTACAGCCAGGCTCCATTAGCCCCATCCCATGTGTCCCAAAAGTGAAGCCTCCCAAACTCCCATCAGCACAGGTTGACATCACCCCATAAGGCATCTTCCTTGCAGTACTTTGGGTTTTTGAGTCCCAAAGTAGTGCATTGACCCATCCCACCTGCAAGGGAGCCTGTTCAAAAGATCTCAGCTGGCATGAAAGCATTAGCAGATGATGGTGGCAAAGGCTCCCCTTTAGGCTGCCTGTGCTGAGAGCATCCTTTGGCATTTAGAAAGAAATCTTAGATGAAGGACAGACATTTAGAAAGAAATCTTAGATGAAGGGCGGCCAATTACAGAGGATCTCCAAGGCAAATACACAGCATTGTTTCACAGAAACATTCTTTCTAGCATTTACAGTATGTCGAAATCCAAATCTAACTCAGAAATTAACCTAAATGGACGTTTAACTTTTCAGCATCGTTAGGGATTTATTGTAAGCAGGTGCCAGACTTGACGTGCTGAGCAGCACTGCTGCAAAGGAATTCTCTGCCAGGAATAAAGCTGGAGGAGAGACTTGTAACTCGGCTCCTTCCCTTCTCCGCTCTGTGCTCCAGCCCCATAAAACCAGGCTGGTGAGAAATGGCCACTCGGAGCCACAAAAACCTCCCAGTAAGCCTGAAGTGGAGTTTGCCGTTTGCTCATGTATAACCAAGAGTCCTTAGAGGTTTTCAGAGTTTGCTGAAGCATTTTGCTACTGCTTATTATCATCCTTGCTGAGGAGTACAGCCACACTTTGTAGTACTATGTAGAGGCACAACTGTGTTTGACAGGGTGCTCATGGCTGGAGCTGGATGTCTGCATCCCCTGCTTAGGCTTAAACTTCCAGTGCTGGGGTTGGGGGTTTGGACATCTTGTCTGATTCTAAGGATATGGTTGTTTCCACTGAATGTCTCTTGACATTCAGTGGCTGTTGAATGTGATGTTCACTTAATGGGATAGAAGTCCAGCTGCAGGTGGTCACAGTGGCCAGTGTTTTACAGGTCACACTGATGAATGATTCTTTCATTTTGAGTCTGATGGTGCCACTTGCCTGATTTTGTGATGGTGTTGGGGTCTGTGCCTCAAAAATGTACATGTAAATGTGAAGCATCCCAATGTTCAGGAGGAAATCAAATCCAAAACATGGTTGTTATATCTGGAGGGGGAAGAAGAAGACTTGGAGGGTCTTGCAGACCACAGGTGAGGTCTGGACCGTGTTATTCTTGGTTCTGTAAAAGCATCAAGCCGGAGCCTGCCCATGCCCTAAGGACCTTGTGGTTTTTAGGAGGAGGGAGGATGAAAGTGCAAGTCCTTTCCCCTGCCTGCAGGTCAGTGGTGTAGGACCTCTTCCCACCACACCGCCTACGAGACATTGCATCCTCTCCCTGTGTCCGTGGGTCCATCCCTGCTCAGCCACCGGAGAGAGCTGAGTTCCAGCATCCATGAGTGAAACCGGAGAGAGTGTGAGCTGCGGCCTCACTGCTCGGTGGGTGTTTGGCTGGAGCTGGCTCCTAAAGCCCTGAAGCTGCATGTTTTTCACGACATCTAACACACAGCTTACAGCAGCACACGTAGTTCTTGGCTCCTTAAGCCAGGCAGTAAAATTACACAGCTTGGCAAACGGGTTGATGAGGGGAAGCGAGAGGAAAGCCAGGAAAAAGCCACCTTGCCCCTGTGAGCTGGCAGGTAGGGCTGGGTTAGAGGGCATGGCAAGGAGCACCCAATGGGAGGGGGATGAGGCTTCTTACAGCCATGGGGTCCTTTCAGCTCTTCCAGATGGGAAGGAGCTTCAGTGTCACAAAGGTAA